CACATGACTGTATGACTAGAGATGACTATGACCAGATGTGCATCTGCTTGTAGTGTCCACAGGTATCCTTTGAATTCTGGGCTCGGAAAATGGCACATTTATCTTCGGAAAGTGGATGAATAGAACTCTATTTTTCGAGGAGATTCAACAACTTCACTAAGCAACACATCTGTCACTGCAACTGTTGAGATGTCCTACAGCCAACCCTCCACCTTAACCCAAACTCTCCCAGTCTACAAGGACTCCTACCCTCATAAATCATGTAGATATATACTCTCTACTAGATAAGTATAAAGTGGCTCAGTAGAAGATCTCGCTTCCCTGTAACATTATTGTAAAGTAAGGCAATAGATAGTATGTTCTAGGCTTCACATAAAATGCTGGGCTCCCAAGGGTGCCAACATGTTGGCTAGCTTTTTCTTAGGCTGACCCAATCATCACGTGCTACACGCAGACACAACTTTAAGTGGTATGAAAAAAAATCTGCTCTCAGTGTGTACTGAATCATTGTCTTGTGGGCCAACACTGTTGAAATTGAAAAATTTGACTGAACTTAACACTATGAGAATTTTTTGCACCCAGTCTTATGGATTAGTACAGATCCATTTATATCCTATCCGAGTTTACTACTGTGCAGGAGAAGCTATTTAAAAACAGCATTTTGTTTACATTCTAATTTGGGGTTTCGTTGATTGAATGGAGGGTCTCCTAATTATGGTTCAACAGCCCGAATCTGTTGAGGACCCCGAGGACAGTGGTACAGTCTTTTCTGGCCCGACGGATCGAGAGCAGAGAGCGGCAGAGCGGCAGAGTTGGGGCCAGAGTGACTTGGGAAACCAAGAATGGACTGTGGTGTCACATAAGTTTAGATTGGGTTCCAACAAAGAGGCTTTTGATGGCGAATTACATGCGTTAGATCAAGCGCTCTGTTTGAAACTCCGAGGAAATTCACGAGTTCGAGTGGGAACAAAAAGTGCAAAATCCCTCGTGGAAAATATTCGTACAGAGCATGTCTAGCTTGATTCTTAAGCCGTAATTTCTCGAAATAGGTACCTTAGACCTGTATCCGGGCAGAGGATCGTGCGGCGAATCTATGCAGAAGTCATACTGCTGAGCAATGAGGAGTGAACGATGTTGTATTTTGTGTGTGTGGCAATCGATAGACCCATAAAAAACTATGCTTTAGGTATATGAACAGAGAGTACAAGATTAAGCCAGTATCTTTATCTTACGAGCACATCTTTGAAAATAATATACATGGTCGCATAGCCAACACACCAGTGATATAAGCTGTGGCTTCGAGACGCACGCGATGCCATGACTACTTCGTCGTCTCATTCCATAGCACAGGTGCACTGGGTCCCGAGCCACATGGGGATCAAAGGCTACAAAACAGTAGAAAAAGCTTCAAAAGATGAAACAGAGAGCACACGACAATGCGTTGAGGAATTCTCGTCTCTGGCACCCATTGCTAGAACTGTGACCAAAAGAACATGGACAGAATACCGCCAACAGTTCACAGCAAAACATCGTCGAAGAAATCAAGCATCCAGAAACACTCGTAAACTGGATCTTGACAAAGGCTCACAGAATGTAACTGTGTCGAAGTCCCGTAAAGCCCTAGCTCGCCGATATTTTTAAATAAATCAAACCATCTCATTTCCGCTACGTACCTCTATCGTATCAAGAAACAAGAGGAAGATATGTGCGACATCTAGTGATGGACTTCCCAGGATGGGGAAAGAGACAAATATGATGTGGAACAGATACGAAAAGACAAAGGCTCACCTAGCGTTGAAAGTACTACCGCTCAAATCTTTGCAGATAGAATGGTAACGACCAGACTGCTAGAATTTTGGTAGGAATTAGAGGTAGGTAAAATCGTCTCTAAACAGCAGGAAGACCAGGACAGGGCAGAACGACTCGATGAGCTTGGGCGGAATGAGATCGACTATGAGAACAGAATGGAGGGGTATTTGAGTGTAGGAGTCTCTTGAGCAGTACCTGAATATACGCAGTAGTGGTACAGAAGTGCCGAAGGAAGGAGGCCAGCTCCCACGACAGCTAAAATCCAATTATCCGGCTCACATTGCGGGCTGGAGGCGAGAGTAGGAGATAGTAGGCGTCAAAGGAGTGGAAAGCTGAGTCGGGAAAACACCTTGATAAGGGAGGGCTGATATTTTTATTTTTTGCGTTCATGGGTGACTCAGTGTGGCATAACTAGTATTTGCTAAATCAATTACAAATGATTAAAAAAATGGTTTCAGTTGTTGTACCCCTCCAACTCAACTCATAGCTGTGTAGAAGGCCAGTGTCGGGATTCTACAGCCAAAGCTGTCCCTATCATCACCAATTACATGAGTCTGAGATTGCGACTATGACCTGCTCTCTATAGTTAAATAGAAGAGGAGAAATCTGAAGAAATTCATTCGGTCGAGCTTTCGAAGATATGACAACAAAAGGATCACGCAGCCATCTTTGGGTCATGGTGAGATGGAGAAATTCTGGACGAGCAGAACTTGAGTTGACGGAGAAGATGTGATCAGTAGACATAGCTGACAATCTATTGTGACTGCTACAACTGAAGGATAGATTGGAATATTCAAGACAATAAATGCACAATGTTAGGGGTTTCATCAATAATTTTCTTCCATGTAATCATATGAGGTTCGTAGCCAACCTCGCGGGTCCACAGAGCGCTAAATCAGGTCAAATGAAATCAGACGAACTGGTAGTGCATGTGGCCGTTAGATACTTGTGGTGAGGAATTCCAACTTTTTAATTTATCCTGCAAATTAATATAGTGTTATCGAATGGATGTCAAAACACCCAAGCTTTTTGCAATATCTTCCATCCCGCATGGCCCTACGCAAATTCCATGAACCAAAGGCCGATGTATCACCTTTGAACTCAACAACTTCTTGGCTAAGGATGCCAACAGTTAGTCTTCTGAAGATTCGCCACCGATCGCAGAACAACATCTTGCTGGTACACTAAAGTACTCAAAGAATGCGATGTTCCTGTGCCTGGAGTGTAATCTCTAGGCCATATACTCGGACTCCATGGCCACGGATATTTTAACAATGGGGCAGGGTTGGAGAGGTTTTCCAACGGGTCCCCGATACCCTGCATGAGAGGGATATATATATATTATTCATTATCCTGATTTGGCGCTATGAGGCCCATGCAAGTTTTTATCGGGAGATATGTACTTTAAGTAGGATGACTCAATTTGAATTTTAGAACACTCACACTCAGATTTCATATGCAGATACCACTCGAGATTAACCCTCACGGCGTAAAACCTCTTCCGTGCATACCCACCACAGGGAAAAGCGTGAAAAACCTGTGGCTATCCGAGCGTGCTTTAATCATTCCACAAGTACAATATCACCGCGAGAGAGTGTGGTGTGTGGGTTTTGCTGGATTCGAACCAGCTTTCTCCTGTCTCAAATGGTGTAGGTGTTCGGGCTACCCAGTATCTACTTGGTAGAACAGCCTGAATGGTGTACCACTGCACCATCCAACGCCATGAGGGATAGACACAGTTAAAGAAATGAGAGAACTTGTCATGGGGTTAGATAAAGCACCCTGCTGTCGAAAAAGACTACTGTAAAAGATACTTAGCCTGATATGCAGGGACGAAAATTGTGAACGGGATTGTCACCGTCTCGGGCACGTATCAATTCGGCCTTGAGGAAAGTTATCCTACGGCGAGGATAAAAACCGCTGTCTGTACGGTTTGGCTTGTCATGGATCAAGACAAGTGGAGCCTTGGGTATTTCTGCCAATGGGGTCGGACGAGGTCCATGAACACTATGTTTATGAGATATAAATTGTCCGGCTCAGTTGACGTCAGACTTCGCTGGATTTTCTAGGCTTCTGAATAACTGGCACGTATATTTACATTCAAAGACGATTCATAGGCGTCTGGGGTATAACCTGAGCATCACACGGAAGCGAGCGCGCGACGGCCACGAAGCATAGGGTGCCGCCATAATTAGCCCCGCTAGCAACATGCGGAACTCAAGGCCAACAACTACCCCAGCACCTCCTTGATAATCACCATAAGTTTGCCATAGATCTGCAGAAGAATACATGGCCGATAATGATGAAGATACGTTGGCACCTAATTCGGAGCCATTGGACTTAGTCCGTCTGTGTTTGGACGAAGTTGTCTTTGTCAAGCTACGCGGAGATCGGGAGCTCAAAGGCAGACTTCATGTCAATCCCTCCTCTATTCATCATCTAGAGCACGCTAATCGAAGTCTAGGCCTATGACAGTCATTGTAATCTGGTTATGGGTGATGTTGAAGAGACAGTTTATGTGATGGACGATGACGAAGACGATACTCTCAAGGTCGGCAGAGACGATAGTTAATAACAAATGCGAGGCTGATAAAAATTTACAGAAAGTTCACAAAAAGCTTGAAATGCTGTTTGTCAGAGGTAGGAGGCCTCTGTTTCACATCTCAGTACTTAGACAAGAGATGAATACTGACAATTTATTCTCAACAGGTGATAGCGTCGTTCTGATCTCGCCCCGAGGACCTAGATGAACTAGAATTAATAGGAAGACTCCATGGCATTAAATGCATGTATCAGGGACGTGAGATGTAAAGCGTGGATAAACTACAAAAGACCTGCACATTTAAGGATGAACTTAGACAAGGTTTGTTGCAGTTGACCAAATGACGTAGGGTTGTGTAGATGAGCCATTATAAAACTAAATGTGTTCAAACATCTACGTTTTCAAGATCTGTAGAAAATACCTTGATGTTTCTGTAGGTTCTGAAGAGTGACCTCTATTTACCGATGTAATCCCTACAATAGTCGAATCATAGAGTCATCGAGCTTCGCGTCTATTCATCAAGCAAATAACTAACAATATAAAAGATCCTACCATTAATACAATTTTGTAATGTGAAATACCCCTAGCTTTGCTCTGAACTTGATCCTATAATTTTGCTCATAAACTGTTCAATACCATAGCAGCACAGATGACATCGGGTTATCGTGGAGATCTCCGTCAGGGCGAAACGGTGGGGCATTAACTCCCGACTTTGTCTGGAAAGCTGCTAATATCGTCTGAGGACTTACGAGAATTCATCGATTATGTTGAAAAACAAAGAAAGAATAGACACCCTCATACAACGAAGATCCCAGAGCACGACGAGACCCATAGCGAATTAGATATTCTTGACTCTCTCGAATTATCGGATCCATGTCAGATTTTGCAATCAAAAGATCTCCTTCTGGGTAAAAACGATGATTCATTGCACAAACTCTCTACATTGATAGAGACCAGAATTACAGAAGGACATGGCGAGTTCGTATTTGACATTGGCTTGAAAGACAATGGCGATTCAATGAACCTAGAAAAAGATGAATGGGAAATAGCAGTGAAAAACTTGACAGAAGCAGCGAAAAAATCTGGTGCAACTTGTAAAATTCTCTTAACAAAGAATGTTGGTGGCGAGCAAAATGGTGATAGTATCACGCTTAGTAAAGAGAAGGGATGCAATGGAAAGATACTTGTGCGCAAACAGCCATCAAGCATGGCGGATGTGATGGAAGTGCGGATCGCCGTGGTGGGAAATGTCGACGCTGGGAAAAGTACCATGTTGGGCGTCTTGGCTAAGGGTTGCTTAGATGATGGCCGAGGAAAAGCTCGAGTTAATCTATTTAGGCACAAGCACGAAATCGAGAGTGGCAGAACGAGCTCTGTATGTATGGCGGTATTAGGATACGACGTCATGGGACAGGTCATTGCGGCTGATCCACTGGGATCAAAACAATCATGGCAAGAGATTGGGAAACGGGCAGCTAAAGTCATAAGCTTCACTGATTTAGCCGGTCATGAGCGATATCTACGAACGACCGTATTTGGCCTGCTCTCTTGCAGCCCCGACTTTGGTCTCCTAATTGTAGCTGCCAATAATGGCCTCGTTGGAATGAGCAAAGAACATTTAGGTATCACTTTGGCGTTGAACGTGCCAGTCATGGTAATAATCACTAAAATTGACATTTGTCCACCTAAAATCTTGGAGCAAACGATCCAGCAAATTACGCGGATTTTAAAGAGTCCTGGAGCTCGAAAAGTTCCAATTTTTATAAAGAGCATAGAGGATTGTGTCAACACTTCAGTTCAATTTGTCACACAGAGGATTTGTCCGATATTTCAGGTTTCCAATGTCACTGGAGAATCCCTTGATCTTGTTCGAGAATTCCTAAATCTCTTACCAAACCATGGTCAGTACGATGCCCAGGCATCCTTCGAATTTCACGTAAACGATACGTTCTCGGTTCCATTTGTCGGCACAGTTGTGTCCGGGGTGGTTAAGAGCGGTGTCATACACACTGGAGACTCGGTTTTCCTAGGCCCTGATGCTGCGGGACAGTTTATGACAACAAAGATTAAGTCTATTGAGCGTAAGCGAATTCCTGTTCCTCTAGCGTTAGCTGGCCAATCCGTGTCCTTTGCATTGAAAAAATTACGGCGAAAGGATGTACGCCGAGGTATGGTAGTAGTGCCAAAAACAGAGGAAGCCCCACCAACCGCAGTTCGTGAGTTTATCGCCGAAGGTTAATTTTCCCCCATCCCGTTACTTGTGTCGACTCTAACAAGAATCAGTGCTTATACTCTCTCACTCCACGACGATTAAACCCAAGTACCAAGCAATGTTGCACGTCGGCTCGCTTTGTCAGACTTGCGTAATCATTGATCTTGACCGTTCGTATATCCGGACAGGGGATCGGGCATTAGTGGCCTTTAGATTCCTTCAACGACCTGAGTATATTGTTCCCGGAGATCGATTAATATTTAGGGAAGGTCGTACTAAGGGGTTGGGTATTATCAAAAGTGTGGGATATGACGTTGACAAGCCACTGGGTGGACTAAGACAGGAGGCTGATGAAGAGAGAGAGGGCGGATCAGACAAAGCAGATAAATAATTAGATTTCTCCGCAGATAGATTTGTCATGGTCTTACAGTAGTTAATGTTAAATGTTGCAATTTCCTTAGAGATGAAATGGGGCAAAGCATAGCCTGCACGAGGCAATGATCTTGGGGATAACATCGACATTTTGTCTTTATCATCTAGTCTCGTGGTTCTAACCTCGTTCTGACCTAAGCCTCGAGCAGTGCCCATCATGAAACAAATTTTGTTGCCAAAAGATGCAGATGAATGCGAGAGAAACACCTTAGACTTAGCAAGCTAGCTAATCACATCCTATTGTTTATATTTATGCTGGCGTGCTAGGTAGGAGGCAGCTTTTGCATTTCTTTAGGATCTTGAGTACATGTGAAGCCGGGCCAGACCAAGTTAACTATAATCAGGTATTTAAGCCTCATCTCAAAGACACGGCCACATACACTCAAATTTCACCTACATATTTGATCGATACTAGTCAGACTGTCCAGTAAACCAAGCGTTGACGTTTTTGCGGTCATTATCTATTCAGTTCTGTTAAGTCCCGTACATTCTTCTACTGGCATCTCCCCATCTTATCTATGATCGTCCTCTCCATTTGGCACGCTATCGGCTGCACATCTTTGCCTCCGCTGTTATGTTTCCATTTCTCCCAGTTGCAGCTTCTTTACCCATCTGAAAATATCGCCGTCTCGGAAAATTCGAGGACTGTCTCTAACTCCAGCCTTATCTCTGATATGGGGTTAAGATCTCGAACCGAGGTACCGGTGTCCCGACCTTTTTCGAACACTCTAATTGATAATCTGGTGTAATGTCATGTCTGTCTCATCGTAGTTCGATATATGGTGTCCGTGGCCGAAGTATAAGCCCATTCAAAGCTGATACCTTGACCGTACCTTCACAGTGCGCGATAGTAAGGCGGGGTGACGCCCCATTGCGTCTGGCGTAGTGATAACTTTTGGATTGAGTGGGTGGTGAGGGTCGTGAGATAAGTTGAGCTAGGAAAGATCAGGATGCGTGAGGATGTTAGCTGTTGACTTACAAATATCTTGTAGGGTTGAGTCTGCCTGCAGCTTGTCTCTGGGGCTTCGAGAATTGGTTTCTTTGGTTTGTGCGGTCTTGAAATTTGTGTGGGTCAGCTTTTTGCTCCGAGACGAGCCACTATCATGTCGCTCAGAAGCCAAACACCGGCCGTTTGGCTTGGCATGATTTCGCCTCTGAGAAATTTTGACCTAACAGGTACGTTGAGGAGTATAGTGATAGGTAATTAGAATTCGTCCTCTTATGTATCCCATACAACTACCCACTGGCTGGCTTAACATCCCATTTTCTTGTTCTTGGTCTCAGGCCAAAGCGGCCATGTATGTCTATGCTTCTGTTTTGTGCAGCTTAAGGGTTATAAAATTACTTTTTAAAATGTACAATATATGTCCAGGTGAGTAAGTAAGGGGATGGTGTTTTTATTGTACCACTTGAGTCACAGACTATCTAGCACATTGGGCTCCTTTCTGGGCCAGGCCACATCTTGTACAGTGCTCCTATCCTCTTTTATTACTTGTAAGATCATTGATATGTTGCGCGTGATGAATAGCCATTCCGCTCAGCATTTACCCATGGAATCCGGCTACCTTGTCCACGGAATCTCCTACCAAAATTAAAATGGTAGTAATGGAAACTGCGTGCTCGGGAAAAAGTCTGGAAAAACTCGCAGCCCCAGCCAGGCGAGGCCTAGACACCGGGACCACATGAGGTGCGCGTATTCATCTATATCTCCCTTCTTTGTATCATTAGAGGCCGATTTGATCCAATCCACCATCGCCGTATCGGGTGCTGGGTACGTTCCAGAGACTCACTGGATGGCTTTTCCTCCACGATCAAGGGTTTGTGATGAGAAGAGCTCCGACTCTAACATCTGATCTAACAGTAGTTAATTTCATGATTTTGGTGGTAGGGGGATGTGTTGAGAGATGAAAACCTTACAGGCATCCCCAGGTTAAACATGGCTGGAAAATCCACAAGGCATTCAAGAGAATATCCAATCGGTTTAAATATATGTAATTTTTACAGATATTTTGTGATCGAAAAAAGGCTCGAAGGGAGTAGTACTGTTCGAGGGCAGTGGTATGGGAGACATAGGACGGGATATACTACTAGTTAGGTATCCTTGACTTACAGGTAGAGAGGTCCTATATGTCGTCAGATGGTCATAGGCTCCATAAGACAATGGCCGGCAAAGACGAATTCTTCACCTTTCAGTAGTGCAGGTGTAATCGCTCAGTATGCTCTGCATATCTGGGATAGTCAAGAAGAATCGCATCCGAATCGAAGTCGAAAGCTTCACTTGCATATCTCCATTTGACGACTTCTCAATCATGCAGCACTCGCCATCATCTTCTGAGTCCTCAACCTCGATCTAACCACATATCATCTCGTCTCAACGACCAATAAAGGCGTCATACCAATTGCAAACAGGAGTTTGCCTTGTTCACTACCGGCCATCACTCACTAAAAATTTACGATGCTACGTATGCCCGCAAGGAGGAAATTAAGTCATAATATATAAAGCTCGGGTCCTGATGCTCTAATGGGGTTATACATCTTGAGGAGGGTCAGGCGGCTGAGATGTGGAACGAGAGGGAGAACAGGTCTCTGAAGGCTATAATGGTACTGACACTTTCGAGGTGTTTTCAACTTTAGATTGGTTGTGGGCGCCAAGACCGATATTTCGGCAAATTAGTCAGGACTTCCATTTTCGATGAGTCTACGGCACTCCCCAGCGCCCTGGACGCCACAAAAGAATTTGGGCTAAGCTACCACACAGCAATCACGCTCTGTCAAGAATTTTCTGACATTTCAGCACGATCCTCGGGAAGGAGGCTAGAAAGGCAGAGGGTGGATTTTCAGGGGTACCCACAAGCCTGCAGCGGCCAGCTGGCCGGCTTCTTTAGACTTACTCCTAATTTCGGTATTAGGAGAGCTCCGCACCCAGTGGTTTTTGCAAATTTTCCGGCTGCCATTCACCCGCAAATGGCCATAGTTTGGATGGTCGGAGAGGGGAGACAATGAAGGGCAGAGGGCTTCTCTAGGTGTATGATCGAATGAAGACTTGTGAGGGTATATTATTGAGATTATGAGGAGAGAAATTGCATATAAACACTAGCTTTGTCACTTTGATGTGCTTGAAACTATTATGGATTGGTCGGTGATATGTGTTTCCTTTATTAGGCTCGGTTCCCGATGATTGCCATCTACATCAAGGAGAATACTCCTATTTATAACTACAGTTCATCTGTCTATTTGCGAGCAGAACATCCTATCTTATGATATGGGACATTCTGTTATGTGCTATACAAGAGTCTATATTCTTGTCTGTATTATCTACATGTAACCGTCTCCCCAAGAAGCCTCTCGAGGAGCTACGACTCCCTCGCCGCATTCTTGGGTGCCTTATTCAATGCCGAACTGGACACGGAGACTTTCGCGCCTATCACGATCGCCTCTGCCACTTGACTTGCCCCTGCGGAGGTGACAAGTCTATCACCCGCCAAATTTTCTGCCGCCTTGTTCGAGAAAGGCTAGCCTCAACTGGTTACCCAAGAAGCCTGGAGAAGCTGAATTTGCTTCTTGGCTCCTCCCGTTGTTCTGAGCTTTTTTTTTGGGGAAGACTAAGACTCTTTTGGAAATTTGCCCGATCCTTGCCAATTGATTCATGCCCATGAGAGAGTCCCCCGGGAGGACAGGACTGAACATTTGTGCGCGGTGCCTTCAACGAAACTAGGAGTAAAATATTCTCCTAGAGCCAAGTTCAGTCAACTTTCGCACTATCAAAGAAGTTGGCCCACGAGGCAATGATTCAAATTACTCCATCACGTCGTCTTTTTCACTCCCAATGAGATTGACTCCTACCTAAGTCTCATCAGGTCCACAAGTACGACCTAGCAGATCCTCATTCCAATGATCACACCTCTCTTCGACTTTCTCTGGCCTCAGCTCTTCACCAAATACACGCCCACGCCTGTATTTATATCCGCAGGAGGAAGCAAAGCGTGGCGCACAAATCTGGGAGACTGTTCTTTGGGATGGGCATGAGAGGATTTAGGAGAAGTTCTTATGATGATGCAAAGGATAGATACAGTCTCGACGGGTGTGAAATCCGAATTTTGGCAAGGAGTTTCACGAATTGATCTTTTTACGCGCCAAGACTTCGATTGCGAGAGTGCAGCTGACACTATAAACACAAGTCAACGATGGAAGGTGTTGTGCTACGCATCCTGGTGGTGCTCTCTGGTAGAGCATGAGTGGCCTCGACACCTTCTCAATTTGAGAAGGAGACGCCTATGACGACATTTTGCACGGAGAAAAATCAGTGGATAATGCAGGCATGTCTGGATGGCTCAGGGTTTTTGAGATGTTTCCCTTGAGCGGGTATATACGGATGAGGGTTGACTTGGGGTGAAGAAAAAGCCGCCATAAATTTGCAGTGGTACTTGTAAATGAAAGGGAGTCTATTCTCAACACCTGTCAGTGGTATCCCCTACGATCCTCCAGCTCTCACTATAGAGTCTGCAGTGCCGAGATTGAGTAACACCTTTTCAACTTTGAGCTGAGTAATTTCCCCCTCCATCAATGATACGCTTCCGATAACACATAAGACGACCAAGAAGACGAGAATGATGCTGAGAATGGGGAGAGATAATGTAGTAGCAAACGCTACAATGGTAGTCAGAGAAGCCCTCGGTATATCACAATATATGCCACCTACCGGCGGGCAAACAAAAAGCCTACGGAAGCAAAGTAAAAGACCCATCCGCCCTCAAGAAAAGCATATTTCAACTCGTCTACAATATCGTCGCTACTAATGTATACCTACGAATCTACTAGCTAGGAGGGCATCTGAAATACATGAGTTACTCGACAACCCCACGTCCCTAACGACTACTAGATGTTAGGCTAGGCTCCTTCACGACAGTCACTCCCGGCCAAGACTTTCCTGACATCCTTTCACGATCTTTGGTATGTCCCGCGGCATGGATCAGAGAAAGAGGAAGGAGAAGGCTAGGAAGGTTGAGAGACGCTCTTAGGTATACACAGGTCTGCTGCGCCCGGCTGGCCGGCCTCTTCGTCATAGGAGAGCTCCGCACCCCGTGGTTTTTAAGAATTTTCCCTGCAGCTACACTCCTGCAAATGGCCATCGTCTCGTTGGCTGGAGAGGGGAGATAATGACGGGATAACGTCTCCTCTTAGTGTGTACTCGAATGATGACCTGCGGGGATTAGATTAGATTAGATTAGATTTGTATTATAGTCCTAACTGAGTCAATGACTATTGAGGACTCCTAGAATCTACAAATAAGATACTAGCTACATGTTTTAAGTTCCAACTGTTTAAATTTACGCTTTGCTCTCATGGACAGTGAGGGACAAGCCCTAATCTGCGGGGGTATTACTGCTGGAAAGAAGTCGAAGGAGGCATAGGAGTGAGTACATTACCTAAGGCATGGATATTCCCGGCTTATAGGCAGAAGGAACCAACATGTTTTTATCTATTCATAGACTCTGTAGGACAATTAACACTCAAAAACTTCAAACTTCAAAAACTATGTTCAATAACTCAGCCTAATCCCATCACGACTTGTAAACAGCGTAGAAGGTTTATGCATTTATGCATGAACAATATGCAATAGTGCTTCATGAGGATATCATTGTGGACTGCTGCATAGACTTGAATGGCCGCACTCTGATTGGTGGATATGATACGTTGGGAATCTGCAAGGGTGGTGGGAAAGTAATGCAAGTGCCGTGCAGTATCCATTGCGCCGATACACAGCCATACCTTTGCACATCACCGACTACGAAGCCTCAATACCAGTAACAACTATCATGTATCTACAGATGTAATCTCCACTGAACACCTTCCGTTTACCATGATTAATAGAGCGTATGCTTTATCCAAAACTGCCGTAGTGCTGTGAACACTAGGAATATTGCCTAGGGCAGTTGGCGCTCTAGCCCGCTGATTCGATGACCCCATGCGAGTGGAGACAGCCGGTGTAAAGCCTTTTCATTAATGTGGAATAAGCTTTTTCGGATTCAATATATTTCTTTTGTCGCTATTGCTTGCGATCTCAGTCCTTGTCCTCCTTTGATAGAAAAAGGTGTCACATTATACGCTGAAGATTGGGTGCTTTCGCTAGCCTGGGAGGCCTCTGATTCGAGGAAGATCATGGCAAGTATTCAGACCGCTGAATGAGGAATATTTCGCGAGTTTTAGAAGCTAGTTAGAGCAGTTCAAAGCTTGTGATTTGGCTTCATATCTAATGGGCGTTGATGATGTGAGACGAGATTGAAGCCCTGAAACGGATATCCTCAAATAGTATCAACGGGCACACATCACGGTGTACGTCATGAGGTCAAGTGGGATGATTTTCAGCACAGAGCTGTCGACGCTCGGATCTTTCTCCATGTCTCACGTTCTGTCAGAAAATAGTTGCAATCTGTGATGGGTTTGCTGGATGTCGGAAAATTAATACACTGTCAAACTTCAAAAATCCGTAGCTTATCACTGACTAATTACAATCCCGGTTGAAATTCTTGTAACTAAATTACATGCTATCTCTTTGACGAGTCGAATTAAGAGTGGATAGTGGTATCTTTCTCGCAAGAAAGAAGCGAAAATCTAGTAAGTGATCCATAAAATTTTACCCGATTAGCCCATCGGATTTTACGCCCAAATATTCTTGTTGGAAACGCAACAACGTACAGAACGTCAGGAGGATTCCAACATTACAAGCTGAAATTATTTCATGAGATAAAGAGACGTTGGGTTAAGCTGGTTTGTAGAATTTCATAGGTCCGAGGATAAGCGTTATACAATCAAAAAGAAACGATAAAACGTGGTGTCTTCCATCAAGATTTCAAATATTTTAGTTTCAATGAGAATCCAAATTGCATCATAATACGAGTGCATATTATTGACCATGTATGATATCACGAAATAGTGCTGATCGGAGTAAGACGCATGAATGTATTTTCATACTCTTCTCTTGATATTACTCTTTATATTTATGTAGTCTATCACCAATCTTGTCTTTTATCTTCTCCCTCAGGCTCCTTTTCCATTTGTCTGGTGTACTCGATCCACTACGGGAGGTACGATGTTTTCCTCTAGGTGGAGTCGTCTCAGAGAGATCTAGAGCCTTTGTGGAGGTCTGCTGAGGGTTGCCCTTTTGTCTTGTCATGCCTGATGGTCTCAGATTAGCGCATCGCGCCATAATACGAATGAAGAAGTGTGTATCAAGATAAAACATACTATCAGCCCCCTTCGAGTCCGTTCTCTTGGGATTATTCCCCGTGTTAGTTCGAGGGGATGCGGCTTCAAAATTACTACGATCAGCCTTACCACTATTCCTCTCTGAACTTTCTTCGCCCCTGACTTTTTCATCATTCAGGGTTTGTGGTGCGCTGCTGAAATTGCTCGGAGGAAGAGTATTCTCGTCTGCTGACTTTAATTCCGACATCGAATCACTTGTTAAAGATTCTTCTAATCTCTTACATTCACTATTAAGATCTGCCTCCACGGTCTGAAGTTGTTCAGCAGAGCTAAATTGAGTAACGACCTCACTAGTTGCATTTTTTGAGATGTTTTCCGTCCTTGCATCTTCGATCTTGGGTATATGGTCACGAGAATCGTCGCCTACCGGATGTTGATTTTCAGCAAAGTCTCCAGGACTGCTTCGGTTATTTGCGGCAAAGGGGTCTTTGAACAAAGTTCCCTTGATTGATATTATTTGTGAAGCGTCTTCCAGAGTAGAATCTGCGATTACATTACTCTTTGCTGTTTTCTCTTTCATGTGGACATCCTTTACGACGCTTAATCCTTCGAATGCGTCTTCACGATAAGGTTTTTGCTTGTCTTTTCTATCTTCCATAGTTGTATTTATTACAGACTTTTCAGTAGTCAATTCATTTTTTATGTTATAATTATTTTTGGGTGTAGTTACACTAAGCTCTTCCTTGTCTGTATTCGTTGTTTCCACTGAATTCTTCTCACTAGGAGCTTGACTAACGTTATTGTCACCTGATAAGTTTTCTGCTGAGTAATTATCTCTGACAATTCTATTTTTGACAGGACTATCTTCTATTGATATTTCCATATTTTCAAGATTATTCACATTGCTACGACTTTCTATGGCATCTTGTGAAATCTTATCATTTTTTGATGCGGCCTCGATGTGGTTCTTTTCTGTTACATCATCCCTCGAAGGATTGGTTTTCGTCGTAGAATTCTCATCAGCTGGGAGATCTTTTGAAAATTTTTCATCCTTAGTTTTCTCCTGAGTTGTTTCTTCAAGATTAGTTTGATTGACAAGCTTCTCTGTATGATTTTCAATCTTCTCGGAAATTTTGTTTTCAATTGCAGCTACAGTTTCTTGCTTCGTAACGAGCTTATCTGATTTCAATCCATTTATGCTTTCTTTGTCTTCACAAAGACCTACTTCATGAAGTTCCGAGGGGGTGGGAGGGCTCTTGACAGATGAAAGTTCGTGTTCGCATGAGTACTGTGGGTCATTTTGTGATGAAGAATTAGAGATGGCACTAAGAGAAAGTGCATCGGTAGTTATCAGACCAAAACTGTTCACTGGTTCTGTTGATACTTTGGCACTAGTAGCATTTGAGAGATCTGACACAGGATTGTGACAGCCTTCAGTTCTTACAATATCAGACTTGGCTGCACTTCTAATCTGAGAAGCATCTTCGTTCAACTCGTTAGACGATAATCCATGTAATGTCCCTGTGTTAGGTGAGATTTCAGATCATATTTTTGATTTTACTGCCAGAAATTTACCATTATTTCCTAGGTTACTTGACTCATCCAACTCTAGGTTTGACTTTTGCACAACTGGTTCCGAAGTAGGTTCTACATTCGTCTCGCCCTCGCTCTCAAAATCTCCCCAGATGGCGCGCGAAGCCACCGAGGCAATGCGGGGACTAGTCCCCATACCTCTTACCAAGATCAGTCTAGTGACTAGATTGTTCGCACTTTCTTATTGAATGAACAAGTTGGCATAAGGATACCACGGCTGACCTGTAGTAATCTTGAAAGAACTAAAGGATGTCCAGAATCTGCTTTTAGTGGATTATATAGTTGTTGGGTAACTTTAGCCGTATTATCAAGAGAGATTATTCTGTCGGAATCATGGTTTATGTGACAAAGTTGGCGCAGACTTCTTGATGGATGGCGTTGAATGTGGCGGTAGCTGAGAGAGATAAATTTGCCCTTTTCGTGATATCAAGTCGACGGGTAGTGCGAATGTGGAGAAGGGGCCCTAGTCTATGCAGAAGCAACGGTACGCCCTTGATATCAAGGCGACGCTAGGCCTGTCCAGCGCAATGACATAAATCGGCTCGAGGATAGCCTGGGTGTCGAAAGCGGCCCGAGCCCTGAGAAAGTTGAAGAGGCATGGAGTAGGATCGGTTTTTGCCATCCCCTTGTGTCGCTGGCTGCTAAAATTAATGAGCAAGCAGGTGTAGAGACCAAACTATCGATAAATCGATGCAGTTATCATAACCATACGATTCGAGTCTCTTGTGTTGCCATTCCCGCTCCAGTCCTGCATCTCAAATCCTGCGTCACGTGCAGAATACCCTGCCGAGCTGTCAGGGGACAGGGTGCACAGCTAGGCCTTGAGCATTGTCGGGGATTCCGAGATTGAATAGATATGACTCAACTTAATCGTGCTAGGTTACGATTAATTTTTGCTCTCTTCTCCTTGTATAGAACATGTATCATGTCTGGTCCCTTACTTTTTTCGAAGACCGGATGATTTTTATGCCGGAATTACTACCCAAGCTCACCGACAATCCGTGCTATCATCGGGCACGTAACTTGCCATAATGAGCTCGCTGTATAGTCATCAAAAATTTACTATGTAGTCAATTATCCAGGTGTGAATTACATCTAAAAAATTGTAAACGAAATTGACAGCTCTCTGTCCTAGAGCTAATCCTACTCAAAATAGTATTCGCTAAGGCTGCATTGAAATAGGGTTGTTTACACAACACAGATCACTCCAACCGAGAATTTGCACCTAAAAGAAATGTGGAACCTTTTTGAGCTGACTTTCAAATTATTACAATTGAGACTTGAAGTATCTGGAAAAGATAACTCGCACAGGAGCTTTCAATTAAAGTGTATATAAAAAGATGTATTTGCCTGTCTCGCTTCCTTTCTCTTAGATTAAATTTATAATATAGTCCTGAGTCAATGACTATTGAGGACTCCTAGAATCTACATAAAAGATACCAGCTACATTTATGAAGTTCCAATTGTGTAACCTAAAGCACTGCTGTTACAGACAGTGAGAGACGTATTCCTTTCTCTTTTATCTCGGCCTATATATCTACACATATCCAATACCTGACATATCATGATGATATCTGGTAATCGCTCCCTTACATGAAAAGACACGATACAAACCCGTTGTAGCCTAGGACCAATCCTACAACGACTCAATAGTAGACCAGCACGTCTGTTGCATGAAAGCCTAGTGTTTTCTAGCCGAAAATTCCCCAAAAAGCCAAGGCTTTTCTTGAGGCAAGCAATAATTGTGTCAGGTACCAGCTTGGCTTGTTATTCTAACAATAATTTTAAGATCATGTCAGATGAAGGGAATCTACTTGAATCACTTAACAATTAGTCAGGAATACAGATGTTATTAGGTTCTGATCCTGGCCCGACACGAACTGTCAAAACTCATTGCCTTCCTAAAATGCCCTCGGCATTTTGTAAGCATAAACAGGAAAAGATATTGGGAGCTATATATTTCATCCGGATAGATAGTGCCTTTGATGGAGTAGCCTCTGAAGGTTAACTAGCTCCAGATGGGTTGAAAGTTCTGAAATGTAAACGACTTGGCCATCCGAACCGTAATTCTCGACAATTCGTTTGGAGATTCAATCCTTGAAGCGCGAGACACCATGGCAAAATGAATTATTACTTGTGTTGAAGATTGACCGTTATTGTGTTGGTAATCAGGCCTCCCAGTCAAGAAAAACTTTTTTGAAATTTTGAATCTTTAGCTTTCTTTGGCGCATTTTGGGTCAATGCAGGTGTGTACGAGCTGTGACGATTACTTAAGAAGTATCAAACACGTTAAAACAAACTCGGATTCATCTCTTAGTTCTGCATTGGTAATAATGTTACTTTCCTTTGACTTTGTTGGTTCGTTGACCTAATGAATCCAAGAGTTTATTGAAAAATGAAGGCCTTCTTACCCTCTACTCTGCGGTGACGGCTACAAAGTTTACCAATGGAGTATATACCCAAAGGAACCATGATACCGTAATCATTATCCTTCTTCAATCGATCAACTTAGGTCAGTCTTGGGTGTGTAGTTACCGGATAATCTCTCAACTCTACTTGGTGTGGGCCTCCCTTATTACCAACATCAGGACCATATTTTAAGATTTGACTATTCTCATGGAGAGCTTGGATGCGCAGTTTAATTGGGTACAGCAGAATCAAGTACTTCCATGGTCGTATTTCTTCCTTTGGTTCGCGGATAAGTTGGGCGGTTGATGGGGAAATAATTGGATGGTTAAAAGATTTTAGTGTGATATCTCTCTGAAGATATTTAGACTGACGTTGATAAACTAATTGGGAATCAAGGTATCTTTATCACTTCTGGCGGATCCAATCAATACTAGTCATACTAGAAGTCTGAAAATCGAGTTTATATCAATGCCAAAACGGAGTACCTTATGGGCATATGCCACAGAGCTCCCTTAACTATTTATTACTAAGCAGACAGATCTCATGCGAGTTAAGCAAGCCAGTCAGGACGAGGTCGAGTAGAAGGTGTAGTCACACTTATACAAACCACTATTCCTACAACAGATCAAATTTGCGTTAAGACGACAGTCATAGAGTTTAGAGCGAGTGCAGTGTGTTTACCTTCCACCTCCATACAGATTGTCAGGAAAAGTGTCTGTTACTAGTCTCCGCCTGGCGTGGTCAAATAAACGTCACAAATTCAAACAGTATGAGCTAATCTGGCTAATATCTATTCTACATCGACTACCTTTCTCTAGCTCTACTGACTGGGATATCTACAGTAGCCTAGAAAGTTCAAATTTTGAGCTCTTTCCCTTCCTTTTGCGCACTTCACGAAAATCAGCATAACAATGATAATTTCGGGACGGATGTTTGAATTGGTATCTTGGATTATCAACTACTGGCATCTTACTTGGGCTCAAAAAGGATCCGAAACTACTTTTTTCCCTTCTGATTCAGGTCATGATAATCAGCTGGGGCCTTCCCAGCTTTGATGCATGTAAGTTAGGGTTAGTATGTTGTCACTCCTCTCGATCCCGGCCTTAACAATAGTTGAATGGATTAACCGCTCTCTTAACACTTGGCCATGTAGCAACTTGAGCTAAATATTTTGAAAAAGTAAAAGTGGTTTAGACATATTTACGTGGCCCACATGTGGCTGTCACTATGGTAGATAATTTGCGTGATTTACTAGGTTGATAAACAAAACAATCAACTGATCCGTTTCCACCATTCACCAAGACACAGGAAGATGGACCACTCGATTGTTTCCAAGTGGTAGGTAGGTCATTTATATTAGCTCTATATGACATGATCACTCCTGAGTCATGAAAAATGTGTTTGAGATAATGATTATGTGTAGTGATTAATATGGGTGACATTTAGTGCATCGAGTGCCATTGAATTCAAACAGGACACACTTTGATGGTTGCTTGCAAAGAATGCGCCCATAAAGCCCATGATAAGGCAGCCAAGTATTCCTCAATACACTTTAAATCTAGAGAGATAATCCTGGCATGATTATAATTCGCAGACTATGATAGGCAGGATTGCCTGTACATAATCGCATTTCTCCGCCATGGTCGTTTTTTGCCGAGGTTGATACTGAAATCGCTAGTAGATTTGAGATGCCTTCAAATACTTTTTCGTCAACTTCGCTTGGTGTCAGAAGAGGATTAAGAACAGGGATCAACCAGTAAAGTTGTATATCAAAGGCCACAAGACATGAACAGGACTTTCAAGGTTCCGGCCTGTAGTCTGGCGATGGCGAGGACCTTGTAACTGCTTTAACAGTTGGAAATTAGAGATAATATTCGGACACTGCTTTTTGCGATATTTCTGACCTTCGGACTGAAACTACACATATCTGACGTCGGCCGTGCCATGGGAAATCGTGCGGCTTTATTTATATTTTCGCGCGGACAAATCTATGACGTCTGGATCAATTTGTACGGGCATTCCTCACTTGCCGCCGCCCGTGCGCTGCAACTTCTGAGGCTCGAGGTTGTTTTCTGCGAGTTGATACGTGCTGTGTAGTCGGCCTACTCCACACTCGAGGGAGCTTGAGAAAAATTGGGCCTGGGCTAGATCAGCTCAACGCCAACTCAATTCATTGCACTCGTCCTATCTTACTGACCTGAACAGCTTGTACCTACTCAATGCATAAACCATACTCAGACCGACCATCCTATCAACCCTATTGTGTTCGTGCCGTAGCGCTTCATCCTTAACAATCATCGCCTCCATTTATCTTTACCTTTTCACATACCAGCCTTGCTCCAATGAAACACAACTCATTTAAAATGTTGACTCATCATCGTTGTTAAGGGCTAGCTAAACTCTGTCGCAAGAGTCTGGTTCCGCCCAAGCGCCTTCCCTCAAAACTTCCGTAAAGTCGTAACCCATGTTCACCATCAATTTCCTCATCAAGGCATGTAAAGACGGAAGACATGGGCTGCGTGTCTCGATTTTTTTTGTAAAGAGTTTCTCGTAGATATTAGAAGGTTAATGCGTGTTAACTGTTGAAATATGATACTTGGATATCCCAATGTCCGTCCGTGAATCAAAAGTCGCAAGAGATGATACTTTGTTCGACATTTATGGCCGAGTTCGAATCTGTTTGGGGGCAGTATTTTCTCCTACTAATATGAGCTGAGCAATTCCTGT